TTCTCCCCTTCCCCCAGCTCCTAGTAACTTCTGATCTACTTTCTGTCTCTATGAATTTTCCTATTCTAGATATTTCATGTAAGTGGAATCATACAATATTTGTCCTTTTATTTTTGGCTTATTTCACTTAGCATAATATTTTCAAGGTCCATCCATTTTGTAGCATGTATTAGAACTTCATTCCTTTCTTATGGCTGAATGATATTCCAATGTATGTATATACCAATTCTGTTGATGGAAAATTGGGTTGTTTCCACATTTGGTTATTGTGAATAAAGCTGCTTTGATCATTGGTGTACTAGCACACGTTTGAGTCACTGTTTTCAATTCTTTGGCGTACATACCTTGGAATCAAATTATTGAGTCATATGGTACAGGTATTTTTTTAAAAGGCATAGTTCACAGAGATCAGGTAAACAGTGAGGACTAACGATGATACAATTTTAGAAGCTAAAGGCATATGAAAAGTGGTCATTGACTTGGCTGAACTGTAATTCAGGTTCTGCACTGGCAGCAGGAAAAGAAAAAAATCCGTCTAATTCACATGACTGGATCCTCAAAAGGCTCAGGAACTGGCAGCACTAGGTACCCCTATGATGAAAGATGTATAAGACTTCTACACTTAAAAATTACAAACTATTGCTAAAAGAAATTTAAGAAAAAAAGAAGAAAAAAAATTTAAGAAGACTTAAATATACAGAAGGATAATCCATGTTCATTGACTGGAAGGCTCAATATTGTTAAGACATCAGTTGCACTGATCTATAGATTTGATGCAATCCCAATCAAATTCCCAGTAGGATTTTGAAGATATCATCCTCAAGAGTTGGCCAACTTACATTTCCAGATATTAAGACTGACTGTAAGGTTATGGTAATTAAGAGAGTGTGTTGATGCAAAGATAGAGAAATAAGCCAATGGAACAGAAAAGAAAGTCCAGAAAAAGACTCACACATACCATCAGTTGATTTAAGGATATTACTGTAATTAGTGGGGAAGGTGTTTTTTGTTTTTTGTTTTTTGTTTTTTTTAGTACATAGTACTAGAGCAATTGGTTATCTGTAAAAGAATGAACATTGATCTCTACCTTACACCATATATAAATATTAATTCAAGGTGGATCATGGATCTGTATATGAAAAAAAAAATAGCCAATTGTCTAAAATAAAACATAGGAGAAAAACCTTCATATTCTTGGGGTTGATTTCTTAAACTGGATGTAAAAAGTACTAACCATGAAAGATAAAATTGATAAATTTGGCTTTATTAAAATTTTTTCAATGAAAATATCATTAAGAAAGTGAATATATGCCATATATTTGGAAAAGATGGTCACAGTACATACATATGACAAAGGATTCACATCTAAAATATACCAAGAACCCCACAAATCAATAAAAAAGACAAACAACCCAATTACAAAGTGGAAAAAGATTAAATGGCACTTTCACAAAAGATCTCAAAATATTCAATAAGCCTGTAAAGAAATATTCAACACCAGTTCTCACCAGGATATGTAATTTAAAACCACAATGAGATATCACAACGCACTCCCCAAGAATGGCTAAAATTTAAAGGACTGACACCCTCAAGGATAGTAAGGGTGTGAAGTAGAACTCTCGCACATTACCGGTAAATGTGTAAATTGTAAATTCATTCAACTAGATTAGAAAATGATTTAGCAATATTTATTAAAACAGATGCTAAACCTATTCCTCAGCAACTATACTCCTAGGTATACTATCCAAGGTAAATGAGTGCCTAAGTCTACCAAAAGGCATGTACGAGAATGTTCACACCACTTTTCCAAATAGCCCCAAATTAGAAACAACCCCAAATGATCATCAAATAGAGATGGTATAAACAAATTGTAGTGTAATTATATAATGGAATATTATTTAGCAAAAAAGAATGAACTCAACAACAGGTATAAATCTCAAAAACATTACATTGAATGAATGAAGCCAAATACCAAACAGTACATACTGTATGATTCCATTTATAAAAGCTCAAGAATAGACAACAAATTAATGGTGATAGATATCTCAGAACTGTAATTCTCTTAGGAAGTGAAGATAGAGAATCGGGTTTTTTGTTTGTTTTTTGGTTTTAGTTTTGTTTAGTCTGTTTGCTTTTACTGAAAAGGGGAATAAAGGAACCTTCTGGGGTGTTGGAAATATTCTGTACCTTGATCTATATGGTAGCTATACATTGTATACACATGTTAAAATACACAATATATATATGCCCAATTCCACACATTGAGCAATTCCCTCTCCCCACTGTGAGAGGAACTGGTATGTTTTCTTTGGAGGATATAAAACAGAAGACCACTTGACTCAGAGGTACTAAGCACCAATGAGAGAGTAATTACATATCAAAAGTTGGGAGATTAAGTAAACCTATGTGCCAAATGCTAGTTCACCCCACTCCAGGTTCTTTTCCTCTCTTGGCTTCCTGAACTGAGAATCTACCTTCATTTCTCATTACCCAGAGTTATATCACATGCTCAATAATAATCCAATGAACAGGCTAGGTAATGTGCAGGATGGGGGACTCACCCAAAATCAAGACAATCTTGAAGTCTGTCATCACCATTCTCATCATCACACATTTACGATACGCTCATACTATACACCCTTGACCATATTACCTACTGCACCAAAATTACCAAATATTCCTACAGCCATTATCCTGAGCAGCTTCTCCAATGGCCAGATCCTTACAGGGTGGCCTCTGCAGGGACCAGGACCTCTAGTCACCTCTACAGTACTGCTTTCCTTGCTCAGGATCCAAATTTTCAGGAAATAGTTTCTAATTTGGCTGAGCCTGAATAGCATGCCTGTCCCATGATGTGCAGGGAGGGGCCACTTTGGCTTCCCTGGAGGAAGTTAGCCACTACCTCCTTGACTACTCACAATGAGAATTTCCCAACTAAGGTGCTAGGACAAACTTGGAGGTTGGTGTTTGGATGCTGCATAACTCCAAACAAATATTCATAACAACAAAAAGTCAGGAAACAGCTTTAATCTATCTTGAGCTAAAAATTGTTCTATTATTTAGCTATCCTTGAGTTTACCTGATTCCCCTTCGACTGGACAGTCTCATTTCTTTCTCTGCTCCAACAGCACAAGGCTGTGAATCCTCTCACTGTGATTCAATACATAGGGTGTTCCTGGTCTCTAAGACCAGGAACCTCAGACTCACCTCATGCTCTCTAGTATAGAGGACTGGTTTGTGGTTTTTACTTTCTCCGCTGTAAGGCCCATCCCATCAATCGATGGTCTCTGCTTAGCAAAGACCATTTGTATGTGTTTAAAAGAGAAAAGAGGATTGAACAATCTTCCCTTTACCTAGAGCCTCACTGGACTGTTACATAATTTTTGACATAGGGAAAAGATTACAATATTAATTTGCAATGAATGATTAACATTGCCAAGCCAACTCCCTAATACTGCCTAAAATAAAATTTGTTTTGGCTCCCCTAAAAATCAGGGTTTCTTATTCTTGCAGGACTCAGCAGTCCACAACTTTTTCTGCATATGGTTGCATGTTTAATTAGTGATCCTTCTGTAAGTGTCTGCAATTAGCACCATGATGATTAATAAAATAACTCCTTTAAAGCTCCATTTAGCTAGCAGAACTGCACAATCAGGTATAATTAATTCATCATTAATAAATCATGGCTGATTAACTAATCTGTACATTACCAACACATTACTGAACAGCTCCCACCTGAGCACAGCTAATTTTTCTATGCTGAACAGAACTAGAAGCTAAGAAGGAATTAAAAAACAAAACAAAACAAAACAAAAAAACCAACCCAGCTCCTCCAAAACTGCACTAAACAGCAAGTACACTGGCATGGCCAGGGAGATTTTGAGACAATGCACATTTAAAAGTTATTGAGCTACACAGGCAATTGTCACTCAGGAAGGAAGAAAACACGGCTGAACACCAGTGGTTCTCAAACTCAAGTGTACACCAGAATAACCTGGAGAGCTTGTTAAAAACCAGATTTCTGGTCCCCATCTCCAGAGCTTCTGATTCAGTGGTCTGGGATGAGGCCTGAAAATTTGCATTTCTAATAAGCTCCCAGGTGGTGCAGATACTGCTTGTCCGGAGACCGCACTTGGAGAACCACAGTTCCTTTCTCATACACTGAGAGTGACTCACAATTGCCATGATTCCTATGTCCTTTCTATAGATTTTAACAGTTTAAAAAGACAACAGTTAGAACAGCTTTCAGTATTATTTATCTGTCTTTGTGTTTACATATTATCTCTCCAGTTTGGTTGTTAGTTTAATAATTACTTTCTTTTATTTCTCTCTGCCCCTATAGAACCTAACTACTTTCAAGACACAGAAACTCTAGACAAAACGCAAACAGACATGACTTGAGCCTTCACCTCTGAAGCTTTGTTCATGCCCTAGTCCTTCTAAGCCTTGTCCTTCAACACTCTGCTGACTCTGCCTTTGCACCAGTGTCTGTGCCTAATCACAGACCAGTGCAAGTGCTCATTATCTTTTCATGAAAGGATGAGCCTGGTCTCCCCAGTTAGGGTCCCTTGAGAGGTCTGTAAGCTCCCTCTCTAATCTCCTTTGCCGTCTGTCCCCCCCAGCTCTCCAGCCCGCCAGCTTCTAGCACTTCTAGCGTCTGATGCACAGGAGACAGAAAATCGCTTTTTTTACCAACAATGTCAGATTGTTGAGCAGCAGATCTGACCCCTGGCCTGGGCACCTAACTTACAGAATACATAAGAGCGACAGCAAGAAGGATTCCCACCCCAAAAAGAACTTGGAAAGAGGCAAATAATCTACCCTCTAAGAGTTAAACCATTAAAAAATAATAATAAAATCAGAAAAGAGAAAAATAAGGGCAACTTACAGTAGAGGTTCTCAGCCAGGGTGATGGATCTTGCCTCTGCCCCACCTCAGGAGTATTCGGCAATGTCTGACGACATCAGTGGAACGGAACTGCTTGACTATAAGCTGATCAAAGTGAAAATACAGGGCTGGCTGGCAATGGAGGCCCTGGGTAAGGCTGCTCAGGGAGGCAAGCATTCAGGGCCCAAGTAGGTTGGATCTGGGAGAGAGGCTGAGCTGTGCTTTGATGAAGGTTATGTACAATAGACTCTCACTCAAAGGTAGGCTAAAGTTAGTTCTTACAAAAATACTATAAAAAATTTTATCGGGCAATCAGGAAAATAGAAATATTACCTGGATACTCAATAGTATTCAGTAATTATTTCTAATTTTTTAATGTTGTAATAGTTTTCCTTTGCCGCATACCAATTACCATAAACCTAGCAGCTTAAAACAGTTGTTATTTCACAGTCTCTGTGGGTCGAGAGTCCAGGTGTGGCTTAGCTGGGTCCTTCACAAGGCTGCAGTCAAGATATGAGGCAGTGCTGGGGTCCCCATCTCACACAAACACTCAACTGAGGGGAAAGATCTGCTTCCAAGCTCACTTGGGTTGTTGGCAGAATTTAGTTCCTTGTTATTGCAGGACTGAGGGCCTCATTTTCATGCTGGCTCTTGGCAAGAGGCTGCCCTTGGCTTCTAGAGGCTACTGGAAGTGATTTTTAGAATTCCCCGACATGGTACCTCGCTTCCTCTGAGCCAACAAGGGAGAAAGAGACTCCGGCAAGATTAATGCTACAGTCTTATGTAACATAATCTTGTGATCATATAAATGTAAAAACATATAACCCATCACCTTCGTCCTAATTCATTGGTTAGAAGGAAGTCACCCTCAATGGGAGGTGATTACACAAGAGCATGAACACGAGAAGGCGGAAATCATGGGGTGACATTAAGAGTCTGTCCTACCATAGACAATATCACATAGATGTTATATTGGTATTGTGGTTACTTTTTTTAAGAGCCCTTATATTTTAGAGCTAAATATTGAAACATTTGCCAATGAAAGTATATGATTCTGGGATCTGCTTCAGTATAATCCAGAGGGGAGGGAGAGTGGGTAGAGGTATAAATAATTGGCCATGAGTTAAAAATGGTTGAATATGGGTGATTGGTTCATAGGAGCTCATAACTATTCTCTTTACTTTTGCATATGTTTGAAATTTCCATAATAAAATTAAAAATAAAAAGACAGCATGTATATTAGTTATCTATTGCTGCAAAGTTAATTACCTCACAACTTAGTGACTTAACCAACAAACATTATCTGAGTTTCGGTGGGTCAGGAATCTGGCACAGCTTAGCTGGGTCCTCTGGCTCAGGGCCTCACAAGGCAGCAGGCAAGGAATCAGCAGGACTGCAGACACCTGAGCCTAGAGGAGACGCTTCCAAGCTCATTCACGTGGCTGTTGATCAAAGGCCTCAGTTCCTTGCTCCATGGGCCTCGCCTTAAGGCTGCTCACAAAGGGCAGCTGGTTTCCCATAGAGCAGGTGATGAGAGAGAAGGGGAGAGAGAGAGAGAGGGAGGGAAAGAGAAAGAAAAAGACAGACCGACACAAAAATGGACCAAAACAGAAAATGTGATCTTTTATACCTTAATCTCAAAAGTGACATACCCTCACTTCTAAATATTCTATGGGTCACACAGACCAACCCTGGTGCAACGTGGGAAAGGATTACACAAGGGTCTGAACAGCAGAAGGTGGGGATCATGGAGGGCTATGTTAGGGGCATGTTCACAAGGCAAACATCAAGTGTTGCCAAAATAATCCTTGGAAATTCTGTAAAGACCCTACAACACACAGTAGACAGATACACAAGCCCACTGCTGCCAGTTTTTCCTCCAGTGCTGGAACACATCATTGTTTTGTTGAGTGCTAGAAGTTGTTGGTTTGAATTAGGGACTATGGTTGTTCCAAAAAGAAATATATTTAAACACTAAAATCACATTTGGCTCTGCCCTGGACACGTATAGTCAAATTCAAGTAAATTAAATGTGATATAATGGGATCCCAATGCATGGTTAAAGTGGAGAGGCTTATCAAAGTGGCTTGCTGACCATCTGCCATTTTGGTTTGTTTTGCTAACTCTCCTTGTTTCATCTTTGTAGACACCACGCTGCTTTCTGACTATAATTTGGCTTTCCAAACAGATATGCAAATGGGGAGAAAATGCTCTGATTTAACTCATTCCAAGCTTACATTTCTCATTGTAAAATTTTAAAATAGTACTCTAGCTTTACACATCAGTCTCTATGTGTTAGGTTAATGTGAATCTGCACCTGAGAGAGATTCGCTCTTGGTAAATTTACATAATAGACTTCTTAGCCCCTGGACTGTGATGAATTTACACAAGCGAGACTATCCTAGGGGGAACCATCTGAGGAGCCTAAAAATCTTCCCCAGGTGTGGCAGCAATATTTACAGTATACAGAATATATCCATGAGCTCCTCCACATTTCTCAGCTCCCTTGCTGTTAAGTGAGGTTATATGACCAGTTCCAGCTGTGAGTAGAACTGACACCTATAACTTCTGAGACAAAACATAGTGAAGTTTCCATGCACTCTTTCTTCCTGCCACAGTAACCATGGAGGCCACATGTTGAGATGGCACAACACAAAATCAGCTTGGGTGCCTACATGATCATGAGGAACAGAGACCCTCCTCCTGACTGCTATGAGACAACTAGTACAAGTACAAATAAAAGCTTGTTATATTAAGCCACTGTGATTTTGTGGATATGTCAAACATTAGCATAACTCAGCCTAACTCAATACACCAGGGGATGCTGATTTTAGCTAGGAGCACTTTTTTCAATCAACAGCAACATTATATTTGAGTGTTGGGATACACCTCTAATAATCCCCCTTGACATCCCCCTATGTCTACTTTAGTAAGATCAGGTGGGCAAGAGGTGGGCAGAAGCAGAAGAGGCAGTGGAAAATCTAGTTGGAACCAGAGTTTTTAAAGCACCCTCAAACCTGCCCTACTCATGTCAGCAGAAAACTCACTCTACACAGCATGCTAATTCTAGAGGCTCTTTTTCCTGCTACCCAAAGATGTCATTTCATTTCTTCTTATTTATCTCTTCAGGTATGCCTGTCCTGCCCCCTACTCCTGCTTCCCTGACTGTCACTTCTGGAGCACTGTGCCCACCATGGCCACTAGATCAATCTTCAGCAGGCTGACCGAGCAAACACAGTAAATATAATCAGTTTCCCTGCCTATTCTAACTCAACTGTCCATTGCTAAATGGATGATTTTTTTAAAGTCACTTACAAAAGTGAACAAAGAATATGAAAATGAATATATGCATGTATATGCTTGACTGGGACATTGTGCTGTACACCAGAAACTGACACACTGTAACTGACTATACTTCAATCAAGAACCAAAAAAACAAAAAAGTATTATAATAAATGATGCCACTGCCCAAGATTTAAAAAAAAAGTGAACATACGGTCTGAAAATAGGATGAAAATTCAGAAGCTTCATATGGCAACTTTCATGCACAGAAGAATTCAATTATCTCAGGGACTTGCTTCCCCCAAAAATATCTGTTAAGAATTTAGCATACATTTGAGAGATAAAAATTCAGAACCTTTCAACTATGCATTTGTATAAAATCATTCATACAATTCAGTCCCAGGTTGGGAAAATCTTACACTTTGTGAAAACCCTCAAGTGAGTCTCACCCTCGTGTAGTAACCCTCCTGAGTTGTGATGAGCTGCGAGGTGTGTGGCAGGTCCTGGTTACTCATTAAGGTAAAGCACAAAGATGGTGAATTACTTCCTTGCAAACTAGGAGAAACACAAGATTACTGCTATAGTAAGTTAATTCTCATATGCCTTAGCAAAACTAAATAAAAACAGAACACATGGTAGCATGAAGGTGAAAAAAAATTAGGACATTACAGGAATTTCTAACTGATTAGCTTGCAGTTTTTTGAGATGGCTGAGAATTGCCATCAATGAGATCACTTCAAACACTCTTAATGACTTGGAAAAGTCCCCATCCCAAGATCAACTATGAGTATTCAATATTATAGATTTAATTGAATTTAATGTTATGTTAAAACCCATTTTACTAAGGTAAGAGAAGAATCCCTTTCAAGTTATAGCCCTAAAGCTATATATCAAGATAAAGATATGTGTTTAATTTTACCACTGAAAATCACACATGTTTTTGAAAAAACTTCTGGGCTTTTTAGTTATTTAGTTATTGAACATGAATGTGTTCCAATAAAGGAAATAATTTTAGATACATTAAAATTACTCCCAATCTTAACCCCCACATAAAAACTCTTCTCACTTCTCTATCTTCATGATCCATCCTTGTCCTTGTAAATTTGTATTCTCCATAGACATAGCATAACATTGCTAACATTTTATAGTCTACTGTAATTTTCTTTCTTAGTATTATATTATGAAAGTTCTTTGTACATTTCCACAGTTATTGGGTCTTTTTAATGGCACAAAATATTCTATCAGGTACTTATACCTAAGTTTTAAATGGCTTGATCTTACTCCTCATAAATTTGTTCCTCACTCTGTGACTGGTAGTCATAATCAGAGATGACAATGTTATCCTTTGTTACTGGTTACTTACATTTCCAATACACTCACAGGTAGAGCCAGAACTCCATTAGTTAATTAGTCAGGAAGCACTATTAAATATCCATGAATATATCTTCATTGTTCTATTTCTAACAGGAGGATTAAGTGGACTATCATGTAGGCTTGCTCAAGGCAGCCCCTAACATTTCCTTTCATGAGAAAATACTTAGTGATTCAAGATAGAGGCATCTCAGCACAAGCATCTCTAGGCTGTCAGCGTGCCTTCCAACACAAGAGCAGCACCCCCTCAATGTCAACTCGTCCATCAGGACGCAGTGAAATCTTCAGTTCTCCTCCTCGGTGGGAACACTGAAAGGCTACAGAAAACATAAAAGAATCATGAATTAAGATCATTTTCACCCTCTTTAATTAGGAGAACATAGTGAGAAATCTCTTATTACAAGCTCTAGAATCCTCCCAGGTAAGTTTTAAGAAGATATTCTTTCAAACAAACAAAAACAAAATAACTAAACAAAGCAAACCCAACAAAGTCAAATGTGTAGATACAGAGAACAGAGTAGTGTTTACCAGAGGGGAAGGAGTGGGGAGGGGTAGGGGAGACTGAAATGGATAAAGGGGCCAACTGTACGTGATGGATGGAAAATAAACTTTTGGTGGTGAGCATGTTGTAGGGTATACAGAAGTAGAAATATAATGCTGTACACATGAAACTTATATAATGTCACAAATCAATGTTACCTCAATAAAAAATAATTTCTTAATTTAATTTAAAAAATACATTCCTTTATTTGTCCATGTTACTGCCTGGCCCACCCGTGGACTGCGGGGGCCACATGTTCAATTTGATTCACAAAACACACAGCTCCACATCTTCCCTTCCTGAGCCACTTTTATCACTTTTCGTCATGCCTCAGACACACCCCACCCATCGCTTTCTCCCTGGCTCTGTCTAGGAGTAAACAAGGATGTGTGAAAAGATAGAGGCTAGGACTAAACGTCTAAGAAAATAAAAAGGGGTGTTCTTGGCACTTCTGAGAGGGCTCCATCTTCCCAGGTCTGAGTGGGGACAAAGGGAGTTCATTCACTAATTGTGGTTATCAAGAAACCTAATGTGTCAGGCAAACAAGAGGCACAGCCTCAGCCTTCCTGGAACTGAAGGGAGTAACTAAGCTCACAAAAGAAAGAATAGCCACCCTGCTATTCCCAAATCAGAGTCACAGAGGCTTAACCATCCCACTAAGTATGACTTCCATCCTCTGAGGTCAAACTCCTACTTAGTTATGCAGCCAGTACTACATGAGGCTACTAGCTCTGTAGCCTCCACCAGCTGCCATCTATTTTCTCTGCCCCTGACCAACATATTAATCACTAGCAGACTTGGTTCCAAAGCAATTTGTTTGACTTAACCCCATGACTAGCAATGTCAGTAAGAAATCTAAGTAATCATGGAATCTCAACTTGTCACATTATAAATATCCTTTCTGTGCCAAAGTTAGACAGCTAGTTAACTTTATTCAACAAACATTTATTGGGCACTTACTGTATTAGAAGTGTGTCTGTGTGCTGGGAGAGACAGAGGTGGCAGATGTTTGGGGTGGAGGGTGTTTTGAATAGAAGGTTCAGGGTGAAGAAATTTAAAGCCTTTCATTTTCATGTGGGTGGTATTTAACATTTTATACATCTTCAAGTGGATAGTACATATGAGAAGGAATCCTACCTTAAAGTTAAGCAAACTAAAAAAACTGAAAAAGAGCTGTCCTACCGTGCATGACTTTCTTCCCCAGCTGCTGGGACCAGTAGCTGCTGAGAACAGTGTGTGCAGACCCTTAAAAGAAGTGGAAAATTATAGTACAATCCCAAAGAAAACAGCAACAACTTTGTGGTAAATTCATAAACAATCAACCATCCAGTTTGGTTAAACGTTAGATGACTTAGTCATTACGTGGGCCATGGCTATAGAAGAGTGTGGAATTATGAGTGTAGATAGAAAGGAAGACACAGAATTTAGGGATAAGTTCCTCCAGGTGATGTATCTGCCATGTCTTACACTTTCTGAAGGTTGAATTAAACTGCAAGTTTTAATTATTATCTTGTCTACTCATTGTCAGCCCATGACAGGAAAATCAAGGCCTTCATCTAAATATGTCTGAATCTTTCAAGAGAAAACATCTCCTTCCTCCTAGGACACATATGCAATGAAAGGTGGGAACTCAAACAAAAGGCCAACTTTTCCAACATTCCCAGGCTTTTGGTGCCAAAAGAACTTCTTTTACTGAAGTATTTTTTTCACATGATTATGCCCTAGGTTTAGAACAGAGATGATATTAAAATGAAGAAACAAAATATAAAGTAATACCTGAGAGAAAAGTCTTTGGGAGAGAAAAGGATGGTTTGGGAAAAGCCCCTACTTCAGGAAAACTTGCTCAATATTATGGGGGGCTCACATAGGGTGCCCAAGCATCCCAGTGTGTCTGACACTGTCCTGGTTTTAGCAAAGAAGTATGCTGAGAAATCAGTCTGTCTCAAGCAAACTGAGATGGTTGGTCATCACTGTCCAAAGACCTTCCCACTCTAGAAAAGCATTATTACAGGGGGAAAAAAACTTGCTCTCTGTGCTAATTAAGATCTTTGTGAAGCAGCTGTGCATGTTTTAATCCACTCAGAACTTCTTTTCCACGGGGAAGGTTGAATTGGACTGTTGGGATGGCATTGGGCATTTTCCTGAGTCTTTAAAAAAAGTGCTTGCTTGCTGAGCTTTGAATTTCTTATGTTTTGTTCCTCAGGGGGTAACTAAGTCAAGGCCCTGAAACTAACCCAGCTCCTGCCATCTAACCAGACCAGGAGCCTCGAAGTCTCTGCACAGCCTCCTTCTGCACTGGCCACCTTCTCAGGCGTAAGTGCGCTCCATGAAGCATCCCCCCTTTTCCTGCCCAGCCCACTCTTCTCAAGAGGCTGAAAGTAGGTGGCTTCCCTTTTTTGCCCATCTTTAATTTCATCTCTCTGCTTCTGGCTGGTAGAAGATCCTAAATACCCATGTTTCTGAACCTATCCCACCTACTTTGTGGGCAGGTCTGGGAAAGGAGGAGGGGAGGAAAAAACACTATTTCTGTTTCCCACATGCAGCCCACGACTTTATCCCTCAAAAACCAGATCTTATGTAGATGTCAATGATCCTACAGGCTGGTCACTGAAAAGGACAAAAGGCTTTGGGGGTGTAGTGGACATTGGTCACTGGATTTTGCAAATGACAGACCTGGAAGTGGAGGCTTGGAGAGCCAGTTTTGCTGTTATTATTAAAAAATACCTAACAGTTATTGGCAATTATCCTGTGCCAGGCCCTGTGCTAAGCACTTAACATGGACATAAACCTATGAGGCATTATCCATATTTTATAGACAGGGAACAAGCTTTAAAAAGTTAAGTCATTTGCCCAAGGTCAACAGCCAGGAAGCTCGGATGCAAACCAGGGCTGTCTGACACTGAAGTCTAACCCTGCTATACCGCCTCCTTCATTCTGTGTTTCACGTGAGATTTCAGTGAAGGGATGGGGGAGGGGGAGACCAAGAAACAAAGGCAGCTCAAGACCCAAACAACCTGAAAGGTCATGTGAAGGGCACTTCATCAGCTGTTTGTTATCCTCCTCCACTGTTGAACCCTCCTCAGGACTCAAGTCGAAAAGTACCTGTGACGGGGTCTTCAGCCACACCAACCCACGGCGCGAAGTATCTGGAGTAAAAGTCAAACTCTTGGGTCTGCCCACCATGCTCTCCCTTGAGGGTGAGAATGAGTCCTTTCACCTTCCCTGTGTTTTCCACTTGCGGCAGATTCTGTGTGTTCACTTTCAGGCTCTCCAGAAATGACCTTGTTCGTAAAGGGGATGGATTAGGACAAACTCATTCCACAGACCACCCGCTACCCAGTTAGGCGGGCCAGGGTGCAGCTTGCCAGAACTGCTCGGCAGCAGGGGATGGAAGAGCAAGGACGGTATCTTCCTACCTGGGAACAAAACTCTCTGGCTGCGTAAATCATGGTTTGACCGGACGTAGCACAGGCAGACCAAGCCAGAGCTATAAATCTGTGTGCTCTGCCCTCCCCAAAGTGCTGACGAAGCCAGATACCTTGTTTACCTGTTGTAAGTATCACTGAGCCGGACAAGGAGCTTCCGGGTATCTGGAGAATAGCGGATGTCCTGAACCAAGGTGTTACCTATGGCAGTCTGTGGAGACAGACCAAAATCTCCTCAGGAGTATGTCCTGGGTCAAGTCCTTGACCCTGCAATAGAGAACGACCTCTCACTAGCATCTGCTCTGTGCCAGGCACACCCAACATCTCCAGTCCCAAAAGTTCAGTGCAGTTTTGGGACTTAAGATATTGCTCAAAGAGGCCTTTAAGGGAATTGAGTTAACCCTCTGAGAGCCAAAGATGGACGTTGCCCACAAGTGTTACTACGTGCCTCTCCACACACACACACACACACACACACACACACACACACACACACACACACACAGAGCACATACCTCGCCCAGGTCTGAGGCGCCCTGGAATCAAAGCTCTGAATCACTACTGTCTACTACCTGTAGAGGTGGGGGCCTTGTGCCCACCTTTAGAAGTGTCGTAAGGATTAATGAAATATTTGTGGAGGTCTGCAGCATAACTAGAAGATTCTACATGGCAGGGATGCAGGACCAGCAGTCTGATGGGAGGTGGGGACTAGAGCACTTGTCTCAGCGCTGCTCTGCTTGGCAAGCACGCTGTGCTCATTCACTGTGTGCTACAGATCACCAACATAGCAACATTTTCTAAAGGTACCTTGATTCACCCTTTACCTAAGACTGCATATAATCTTACTCATACCCAAGACATAGTTTGTCTGTTTGTTGGCTTGGGGTGCTGAGGGAGATTATGAGGGGACAGAAGCCCCTTCGAGTAATCCTTTGGCACCACCACTGGCTGCCAGCTAAACAGATGAGAATTACATGGTAGTTGTCTGGCTGTCATTAGGTGGCTTCAGGGCTCTAATCTTCTTTAAGGGACTGAGATGCTCTAGGTCCCAAGGCCAAGACTCTCTCTGCTATGTGTTGTGCCTGGAATGTCTGCCTCTGTGAGCGCTGCTGCCCTTCCCTCCAGACATGGGAACTCTGCAGCCAGATCCCAGGTGCTCTCCAGAGCCTTTCAATCTCTCTGAAGGGTCATCCAACCCTTCTCTGCATGGATTCTTATGTCGATTTGAAAGTTTCATTCTCAGCTGAGAATCTTATTGCCAGTTTCTAGAAACACAAAATGACAATACTCGTGATAATGCTTCATCATCCCCATTTTACAAATGTTGACCCTGAGGCTTAGAGAGAGTAGTTTAAGTTCTTTCTTCCATGAACAAGGCCTACAACTATGAATATTTTCCATTTTCTTGCCAACATGCTTCAAGAACATCATTTATGAATTTGGCTTGTCTCCCAAAACCCAAGTCATAGGTGGAGCTGAGGGTAAAACCAGAATCCATGATACTTACATTCTTTGAAAACTTAGATAAAGCAAAATACTAAATAGATTATAAATGCTGTAGTTAAAAATTCACTGAGAAATATCAGTACTATCCATAATAGGTCATTTTACAGAATCATTTTTTCCTCATGGCAGCCCTTGGTCTGGCCAGACTTGGGCCCTTCCTTCTCTACCAACTAAGCACCTGGCCATCCAGGGGTGCTCTGGACCTCTGGAATCTGTATGAGACAACTGTAGTGCCTACTGCACTGGGTGAGTGAGAATGAAATGAGGTAATGCACTAAAATGCTTAATGCATGGTACTACACAAGGGAGACACTCAAAAGTGTTCTTTATTATCATTACCACCACCATCATCATTATTAAGCCCCATCCCTACAGAGACCCCGTGAGGAGGCCAGGCTGTGTATCTGGTCTTCTCTATTGAGGTACCTACCTGTGCTTTCCTGCTCCCTTCCATCAAAGCATGGCCCCCTCATCTCAACCTCATTCTCCACTGAAGAGATCAGGACACCGACAGCTGCCAGGCAGTTTCCATTCTTTCCTTTCACTCTCCGCCTGCCACACCACAGTCTCCCCTCCCCATCCTTCAGTGGAGTCTAATCTGATACTGACGAGTCAGGCAAAACCGTTCAACCTTCTCACCAAATAGATTCAATATGAAAATTCGAACCTCAGACGCACCACATAGTATTCATCCAAGCTTAGACTGGAACACTTATACTGGCAGAAGGCTAATCTTTGGAGACCAAATACTACCGAAATTTTGTTCAGGTAGTGACAGATGATCAAATCACACGAGCTCACGTTGAAGTCTTTTCACCAACCTTTATCAAGTCCTCCACTTCAAGGAAGTCCTAGATTGGGGAAAAAGACAAAACCATTGTAAAACAGGCAAGCTGTCAGGTGTACACAGTTTATGGCAATAATTAGGAACAACTGACCTGGGGATGAGCTGGATAAAGAGGCAGGTCCAAGACGATACCATCCTCTGCTCTTCTGGCCTTTAGTTCCCCACTCAGAGTGACAAAGGTTATAGTGCTATTCACGTTTTCTGGACCAAAAAAAAAAAAAAGAAAGAAAGAAAGAAAAGAAACTTACTTTGTTAATTAGAAAGCTCTTTAAAAGGAATCAAGAAATAGGAAAATAAACTTTGTTATAGGGTTACACATCTGTTTTGATCACTATGTGTTGTCTTAGATTCCCTGCTGGTGTTGTTCCTGTAAAGGGGACCCAGGTTTGAATTACTAGGGTTCCAAGTGGCAAAAACTCTCACTGGATTCTAATTTGAGAACGAAGAACATAACTGATTGGACTTGACATCATACTGTGCCCTTGAGAAAACTATTTAACCTCCTTAAACCTCAATTTCCTCATCAACAAAATGGGGTAATAATTAAACCTATACTAATTTCATTTTACCAATAAAATGGGGATAATAATTAAACCTAGCTCATAGGGAAACTATAATGCTTTCTAATGCAGATTTTTAAATATCCCCTAAAACTATAGAGTTATAAACTCTATAGGTCTAAGATATGCCAAGGGGATGACAAATGAACATATACATTATGAACAAGTCTTGATATGAACAAACCAAGCTTACCATAAACAAACCAAGCTATACTGAAAACTTCGATTTAAAGATTGGATCACAACCCCTGATACAATATCTCTTCATGTTACTGATACAACTTGGACCACTTATTTCCAGGTAGGTAACGTTTTTAGTGAAAAACAAAGATTTGTGACTTAGTTCTATCCCCTTCCCTAATATTTCTGAAAAACTTAACCATATCACAAAGGTGAGGAAATTAGGTATTGCTGATTAACTTCCACAGGATAAAATTCATACTCTGAAACCCAAAGTTTGATTCTTTCACTATAATTGGTGTAAGACATCATAATTTACAAAGCGTTTTTTCATGCTTTTTCTTATCTAACCTGAGGCCCACCCTATGGAGGACTATCAGGCCTTTCTTTGTTGCTACCACTTTCCAGTTCAACTTCTCCCTGCATTCAGTCCTGCTTTCTTTACTCCCCTACCAATACTGATCCCAGGAAGACTGCCCCCAGTCCTTCCATCATGCCAGTGTCTCAGAGGCTGCTTCCCGGGGAAACTCATCCTGTCACACCTTCCTTTACTCTCCCCATCTAAGTAACTCCACAAAGAACTTCCTTTTCCGACCCCCTCCCTCCCGTCGTATCATCTTGTTTATTTCCTCGTTTAACTTTCTGTTTGTTGTTTACACTTGTCATGGCTGCTTCCATCTCCACTTTTAGGGCATTTCCAGGCATCTCTCCTCTACCCCATTCCCACAAAGCCCAGATCTTTCTCTCTTATGCTAAGTGCAGCTCAGATGGAAATTGGTAGGGTTAAGGTGCTGTATCCTCTCTTCATTAGGTAAACTGTGTATGGTTGGGGCTCATGAATCCTTAAAATTCAGAGTAAAGAAGCTCTTGTAAAATGAATTTCACATATTGGGGGCAAAGTGTGCCTTTTGGTACTCTGACATCGCATCATGTGAGACACCTTTCCTGTCCTGTAAACTCTCCTGTGTTAGTCACAGAGACCAAAGAGCTTCTATCTAAAATAAAAAGGACTTCTAGAGAATAAGGACCATAGCTTTCCAATGTGCCTGGCACATACTTAGAAAGATCAAAGTGTTACTGAAAGTTGCTGTTTTTATTTCAGCATAATGAATCGCATGAAATAAACGTTGCAATATCTTTGTATCAGTCACTTTGGCTCATTGGAAAGGATGTGTGAAAGTTTATTTTAAAATATTTGCTATTTAATAAATAGGATCATAAAAGAAAATCACTTTACTCATTTTGTGAAAGAGCACAGCTGCAGAAGCCAGGGTAGCATGGCCACAGAGAGGAACCTCACTCGCTGGTGTAAACCACCTTAATCCAAAGCAGGAACCTTCGGAGGAGAAAAGCCAAAGAGAGACAAGATCATTGTCATACACGGGGGTTGCAAAGTCTTCATTTTCTTCTTCTTTTCTAAATACTTCAATAGCATGATTAACCACTGAAACATGTGAAAGGAGGAGTAAAGTCTAGGCAAGGCTCCTAAGGCTCCCCGGTGCTAGATCTAGAGCCGAAACATCCAAATTCACCAACACCTGCTCCCCTAGATGAACTGAAAACCAAATCAGAATCTCCCCCTCTCTCTTCCAGTGGGGGAATGATACTTAAGGGATGCAAATAATAAATGGGCATTTCCCTTAAGTATCATTCCCCCACTGGAAAAGTAGCTTCTGGTGCCATTCAAGAATGATTAAAAAAAAAAAAGCATACTTTGTGTAAAGTTGTCAGTTGGGTGTAGTTTTCGGATGAAAGCAGTTTCAGAAAGGTTCATTTCCCTTGCAATTTTTTGATGCATGTCTTCATCCAATTTCTAAATTAGAAACAAAAGGTTATTGAGACTCCAGAAACACAAGCCAGACTTCCTTGGACAGCAACTGCCACAAGTTAATAATAGTTTATTAATATTAAAAGTTATATGCTTAAAAGGAAAGAATTGCCAGGGAATTCAAGGCACTTTTATAATAATCGTTTTTCAGAAATCTCAGAAATTATTTTGCAGCACCATGTGAAAAGCTGTAGATGTAAAAAACTAGAACAGATTCTGAAAGACGTACTGGCCTGGGCTACCCTTTGTCAGATTATTTTCTAGTCTATCCCGGAGAGCATGTGTTCCCTTCTAAAAACAATTTCTAAAAATAGAAACTCCACAATCTCCCTTTCTTGTTGGATGAGGAGATGTGAGGCACCCACTCTGGACAAGCTGGACCATTCTGCCTCTGTTTATGCATGGTTGACTCCCTTTCATGAGTCAGGCCTTGAGGTCACCTCCTCCAGGAAGCCTGTCTCTTCCCCAGTGCTTAAACCACCTGAAATGACCTACTTTGCCCTTTGCTGCCTGTTCCCCCCACCTCTGACTCTGAGCTCCATGAGGGCACTGACTGTGCTACTTTGCTTTTTTCTGGTTTAGAACAATGCTTATATTCATCCTGGAATGGTAGGAACTCAATAAATATTTGCTGAAAGGATACATTGTTCACTTAATCTTCATTTTTAAACCTCTCAATAAAGATACTTTTATCCACTTACAGATAAAGAAATTAAACACAGAAAAGTTGTATAATATACTAAAAACACAACATGCCTAATAAATGGTAGAATGATTAAGAATGTGGGCTTTGCAAATGTTAAGAATCAGTGAATCTAGAGAAGTATATGGATGTTCATTGCACCATTCTTGAAATTTAGTTTTAAAAATTTTTCAAAACAAAAACATTTTTAAAGTTAGCTTTGGAAACAGACATAGTGGGATTCATATCCTGGGTCAGCTCCCAGCAGCAGTTCCAGAGTGAGCAAGCCGTTTCATCTCATGGAGCCTCAGCTTCCACACCTTTAAAATGAGGATGATAGTCCTCAAGTCAAAGGATTATTGTGAAAATACATACATACATCTACACGAACACACACACACACAACAGTCCTCAATGCTAGGGGAAAAATGAGTCAGAAACGTGAATTTTCCTTTTGAGCATGAAAATCAAGTTTTTAATTAACAAAATGTTCACTAGTTAGATTTTGATTTTTAGAGAAGTCTGGAGACAAATGCATTTTTGCTCTGGCCAAACTTACTATTCCTGAGCTCC